GAGCTATATTTATATGGTGATATTTCAATGTCTGATCATGACATTTTTTTTTTAATTTCTAGGTTTTTTTTTTTGTTTTGTTTTAAAGTATTCTTGCTTAGAAATACAAAGAGAATAAAATTATGTTTTGTTTATTTATTATTATAATAAAATACTCAGGTTGATTTAGTGTAATTTCTTGTCTTTGATTTTTTTTTGTTTCTACTCATCATGAATTCTTCTTGAAATTTCAAAATGTTTCATTACAGTGAAAGCTATTTTCATACCAGTTCCAGAATCAAATTTATGCTGTGGCCATCAACTGTGATTCATATACATTTTCTGGTATTTCAAAATTATCTTATTATTTGAAAATTTAATAATAAAACTATATGTACTCCTTTCCCCCCCCCCCCCCCCCCCCCCCCATCCCAATATCTCCTGTTATATTTCACAAAATCTAAGCTCTTTTTTTTTTTCCCAAGCTGGCTCTATTGGGCTGATATCTTCTTTTACATCTGTTCTGTGGCTATTTGTACTATTTCTGTCTATGGGCTCCATCACTTTCCTCTTCCCAGTATTAAGCCTGGTAATGAACTACCAGGTTTATTCCCTGCCCTGAATAGAGAAAATATAGAGAGAATTCTGATGTTTTAGGGCAATCTTCATTGAGCGTTCCCAGATTCCTTGTTTTGGTTCTAGTAGCTAAGAACACTATGCAATTTTCCCACAGATTAAAAGGAAGACAACAAGAGTAGGACAAGTTTTCATCTTGATATTCAGTATTAATTACATGAAACTGCTCTGTCCTGGAAGCAAGGGAGTGTCTTAATTCATCTCACATATTTTTCTTCTGGAAAAGAATAAGTCATTGCAGCCTCCTGACAAGGCAGCTCAGTACTCCTTATTAAAGGACTGACTGTTTCTTGTCAATATCTTTTTTTTTTTCTCCTGGGGAAATAGGAAGTTCCTGAAAAGGAAAGGACTAACAACTACAATTCACGCGAAACAAATACAAAGATATCTGAAAATTTTCACAACACTGCTTCAGTGTGCTGTCTTCTGCCCTTACAGAATTCCTGTTCTAATTGCATCTAATTTTGGCATAATATTTGGTGGTGTTAGGACATAGCGTGACACACATGCATGCTGTGTTGGCTTATTGATGTCCATTTTCAACATTTCCCCAACATAATGTCTCTTGGCTACAGAACAATCTCACATATTCAGAACAAAAATAATCATCCTAAACCCTGGGCAGCATGGATGTAGAAACATGAGATAGGGCATTGTTGATGTCTACATAAAACCCTCAAAACCAAAAAAATCTTATGTTCTTGTGGTATCCCAATTTATGACTCAAAATGTTTGCTTCTGAACAAAATTCTGATTGTAAAACTCCCTAACACCTCCCTGATTGTCTACTTTTGGATTGGTTTTCTTAAGTATTAAAAATTTTGCATTTTCTTGCAGAAAGATGCAACATTTGATCAATGACACTGGGGTAACTTCTCCATCTGCTATTGGCTGCCTTCCCAGGGCATGAGCCCTGTATTTGGAGAGGAGACCCTCTTGGTGATGGAGCTACTGCAGTTTGAAGAGGGCACTGTTTTCTTGCTGCCAGGATCCTCTCCATCCTTCTGCTGACTGGGACCTGTCTGAGTGTTTTACACTGGACGCTAATTAAGCTTGACTATATTAAAGTTCATTTCCCTTTGTTTCTCTGGGGGTTTTTTGTGTCTTTGCACCTCTGCACATGAGGCATCTCCTCACCGTGTATGCAACAGACAGTCATTTACTTCCAAACTGATTACAGAATAAGCTGCTTTACTTAAAATGATAAACCTCATCTCTTTGGCTCTCTTCTGTCTCTGAAACAGAAGATGCAGCAGAGTTATCACCTGCTCTTAGATTTGCATGCCGTCCCTGTATGCTCACCAAAACAGGGCTCTTGTTTCCTGACTGGTGGTACTTTGTATTTGAACTTGATGGCTGGAGCCCACATGTAGTTGAAGTTTCAGACTTCCTGATCTTCTGGTTGAAGTTTCAACTTGTTTCTTTTCTTCTAAGGGTTCTTGTAGAGGTTTGGGGAACAGAATATTGAGACTGCCCAAGCAGACACACTCAGGATACGGTAATGAGAAAGTGAGCTACAAGGCCAGAATCCTAAATCAGGAACTGAGTACTGCATTCTGACCATGAACAATTTGGATAGCTCAATATCACACAGGAGTTATATTTTAAATAAGATTTTGGTGGTAATATGCTCCCACAAATGATATTCTTAATTTTTCTTTATTTCTATTGGAAAGAAGAAAAATGGCAACATTAGTCAGATTCTACAGACCATTATATTCAAAACTCCTTTTTCTTTGGGGAAGGCAAAGGACTTCTGAATGATTTTTGATTAGCCTCATTTATAATTTTTGTATTTGGTGTCACTGATGTAAAAGCAGGAGCTTTGCATTCTTAGCATGACACACACATCTTGCAAATGAGAAAATATAATAAAACCAGGCAAACAGAATATACCACTGAATGGGGGGTGGGGGGAGAGGACCATTGCTAATGCTACATAGAGAAAGAGATTGAGAAAGACAACACATATTTTTCAATTACAGAGCAGTTCAGACAGCTTCTGCGCAAGGGGTGTTATGCTCCCATGTATGTGAAAGGGTAAATATTTTAAAAGTCTTGTCTGCCAGAGATCTGGAAACTAGGTTGCTTTATTTTAAAATCTAAATCTTTTAATCAGCTTATTTTATCTAAATGTTGACTAAAAGTATTCTGGTGTATATTCAGACAGAAATACCTAGTTTCTATTTATATTCCCACTAGTATTTCTTCATATTTACTGTCCAACAAGTCTGAAAAGGAGTGCTTGGGAGATTAGCAGACAAGAATAAGGCTCTGCCTATTAAGGCCAGAAGGTCATCTGCAATGTCATGTTAAACCAAAGTCTTAGAAATAATTTTTCTGTCCCTTGACACATTAAAAAACTTATTCGGAAGAAAAATTATGTAATGAATTACTTCATATATGATTTTTTTTTTGTTCTAGATTTTTTGACTATTAAAAGTAATTAATGTTAAATATATGAAAATTTTCCTATAATACCAGGAAGGGGCCAACTATGACAACCTTGACTACTTTGGGACCTTTTAGAAAAAAATGACAGTTTACCATCACAAAACATTTGTGCACTACAGAGAGTGTCCAGTGTGTATTTTACATAAAAATAAAAAATATCTGTAGTTAAGATGCACTTGTATTATAAACTCTGTTATGGACTAGACTGCTTGAACTAAGCCACAGTCCATGACAGCTGTCAGCTCTTTTAAAAAAAACTTTCTGAAAGCTGCAGATCAGCCAAAGTTTTTCCTAGAAAATATCCTAGATAGGAGGTACTGATCCTAGATATGAAGTCTGAGCCTATTCCAGACACTTTTGGTGTCTAAGACAATAAATGTTCAAAGACATGGGTTGTGGCTCCTGACCAATTCCAAGAAATGCAGTAAGCCATCAAAGGGAGTGCCAGATCACTGGAACAAGGATTCCTGAGCTGTTCCTGGCTTAAAAGGCAGCTTGAGGGTTTCACATGAGATTGTCATACATCAGTTTAAATTGTGGATTTGTCCTTGTTTTATCTGGGATAGGGTTAATTTTTATCTTAGTTGTTGGTACAGTGCTGTGTTTTGAATTTAGCATAAGACTAAAAATAACACACTGATGGTTTAGTTCTTGCTAAATAGTTCTTACTCTAAGTCAGGGACTTTTCAGTTTCCCATGCTCTGCCAGTGAGAAGCTGCACAGGAAGCTGGGGGGTAACCCAGCCTGGACAGCTGACACAACCAGCCAAAGGGATATTCCATATCATAGAACTCATGACTTGGCCAGGAGCTGCTGATTGATGATCAGGGATGGGCTAAATATTAGTCAGTGATGAGTGATCATATTGTGCATCATTGGTTTCTCTTGGGTTTTAGTCATCTCTCTCGCTCTCTCTCCTCTTCATTACATTTTTTTTTCATTTTATTTTATCATTTCATTTCATTTCATTTCATTTCATTTCATTTCATTTCATTTCATTTCATTTCATTTCAATTTGATTCATTAAACAGTTCTGATCTCAACCCAAGAATTTTACCTTTTTTTTCCAATTGTTGTCCCTACCAAGGGGGTGAGGAGGGGAATGAATGAATGGTCTGCCTGGTGCTTGCTAGCTGGTTGGGGTTGAACCATGACAGGATTATACAGTGTTGTGTGGCTGTTTTAGAAACACTATGGGGACTGTCCAGCAGTACAGGAAACTAAAGGGGAAAACCTTTTTTTGCCTAATATAGTTTGGGCCATGGCATGTGAATTCATCTCATGCTTTCTGGAACAAAGTTCTTTCCACTTCACTGTCCATCCAGCATGTGAGGGAGCACAGTAGCCTACAGATACAACCACCTGGAAAGCAGCTCTTTCCTACTGTAGACAATTATCTGGGAAATGTGACATGGAAGGACAAGACGCAATATCTTTAATGAATAGTTTCTCAGACTATTCTGAAAGGTTCTCAGGCCCAATAATCTATTCTGAAATTCTGCAAAGCACAGGACACAGTATTTCATTCAGAGACTCCTGCAGTAAGACCAATACTTAACAAGACCTTCAACAAAATGTCAAAATTTAGAATTTTTAAAAGATATTCAACGTTATAAGTTCTCAATAAGCAATGTAAGGTCCTCAAAGTGTGTTGTTATATTTTAGCAACAGATTTTTCTTTCATGTTCTAATTGAAGCTGGCATATGCTGCTGGCATTTTGAATAGCATTGCCTTCCATATCATTCAAATCTGGCATGGGAAAATGCCATTCTCTTCCCTCTTAGATTTCAGTCAGATTTTAGGGTTTTTTTCTACAATAGACTATAAATAATGTGTATAAATTTAATAAAAATTATGTCCTGAAAAGGTGCAGAAAAGAGCTAATTAAAACCATCCTTTTGCTAGTCTCAGTAGTTGAATCAGTACTCACCCACATGAGGTCCAGAAGAAAGCAGGGGTGGACTTTCATAATTCTGGCAGGGAGTTAGCTTACCTTGTTAATGTAAAATCTGGAAAACAGAAAAAATTATACTTGTTATTTAAAAGATTTTTATGATACTTACTTTTTAAAAGGCAGGATTCACTGATGTCTTTTGTTTCAATTCCAGAGATTTATATTGCATCACTCATTTGACAAATAAGATCCTTTGCTGGGGTTTGGATCCTTCCATTCCCTGAGTCATGATTGTCTTCAATCTCTGGAAGAGTTGCTTTGAATTGAAGCTGACACTGAAGTAATTTGTCTTTACATATTTAAGAGACCCTTTATTCCTCTTACATAAAGTGTCTGCCCAGAGAGCATTTGCTATTTGGGTTTTGTCAGTAGGATACCACATAAGTGCAATTAATTGGCTGCTTTTGTCAAAAAGAGAGTATTTAATCATAAAGGCAAAAGGCTTTTGTTCTTCTCAAAGAGCAAGTCATATTAAATGAAGCAGCTCTTTCCTTTACCACATCATATACCAGTTTAAGATATGTGTTTCCTTATTAATATAATAGTAATTAAGGTGAGACATTTTGAATTTTAAAACTCTCTAATAGTGTACTGCATTATACAACGTTTGCTCTCTTACATATTTCATCCTGATTATCATCTTTTATGATTTGCCCTTCCCCAGATCTTTCAAATTACCTACACCACAGTTTATGTTCTCTGAATCACTCTCTTCTTTTTACCAGTCTTTTCCTAAATGTGTCCACGTAACTACTCTGTTAACTCAAAGAACTTGATTGCCCTTTCAATACTTAGCTATCTTTTCTTCTGGCTTGTTGCCTTGAATGCCTTCCTTCTTTACACTGACTTTATGACCTTATGATCTTTTAAATTCTTCTCTTTAAATACAACACTATTTTTTCCTTAAATTTAAGTTTTAATTTTCTCATGAAAATTTAATGTATAATTTTTACTGGTGACGTTCTTGAAAAATAATTTTTTGACACATTTTTATTCTTGCTTTTAGACATTTTATTTGTATCATATGGTGAACTAGACTCTCAAAACAGGTGTATATGCTTACTTCTCAGAAAAATAAATTAATCTGAACACCACAACCTCGTGATCAGAAGTGCTAAGACATGTGCAACTTATTCTGCTCCCAGTGACAGTTCTAGACTTCAGATATTGGGCTGTGGTATTTATACACTGAAAATAAGATTCAACTCACTGTAGATTAAGCCATTTGTCTAACCTTCATCTGTGGTCATTAAAGACAGAAGATGATGACTCTATCCTAAATGTATGGCAATGAAGGATACTGTGCCATGGTTTCTCCAATGAATGAAACGGCTTCAATCAGAAGTTGTTGAGCTGTTTACTTCCTAGTAAGCAAAACTAGGTGAAAAGAATCCCATTGCTGCAGCAGAAAAAAAAAAAAAAGGGAAAAAGGAAACATTTCACTTAATTATAACTATTAACCTAGGCTGACACTTTGTTTTGTCTTCAGAATTTCTTCTAGTCTACCAGGGCACATCCAAATCAATATTAATGTTAGTACTTCAGCTGTCATTTATCACCTTCTCCATATAAAGTAAATATTACTAAATTAACAGAACTGTTTCATAACTTGACAGGGTTTTTTTTCTCCATTCATAGCTTCATGAGTTTATAATAGAAATATGAGACAAAACTACAATTAAAAGGGAGGTGGTATAGTCAGAGATACAATTCCAAAGATAAACCATCTTTAAACTTTCTCAGTCTTTTGAGAAGCTGGAATTTAATTCTTTGATTTCTAGAAGCAACATAAGAGAAATTTGTACTTCTATTCACAATTAGCTAGGAATATTTTATATTTAAAAGTGATGCAGCCAGAGGCACAGACATGGGGAGAGTTAAAATACTTCCATTAAAAGTGACTTACATTGGACATACCCTAGTGTACCATGGGAGATGGGCAATGCCTGTGCCTCAGTGCCCATCGAGGTCTGAAGGGTGAAGTTTGAGGGAGTCCCACAGTTCCCTGTAGCTCAGCTGGGTTGGGCAAGAAAGTTGGGTTCAAAGTTGCTCTTGCAGGGGCAGAGATGCAGTTGACAAAATGCCTGTGTCTAACACCTCAGCCTGGAAAAATCAAAAACTATGCATGGAAAAGTAAATAAAAACACTGTTTTCCCCAGCTCTGTATAGCTCCACTGATGCAGCTGAGGCAAATGGCTGGAAAAAGAATGCTGCAGGACTGAGTTCTTTGTTAAATATATCTAAGAAAGATTAGAAATTAGCTGGAAAGAATAAGTCCTCAGAGAAAAAAAATGGGGCATGTTGTATAGAGAGCCATCACAGGTTGTTTTGCTTTGGTCTGAAACATTAGGAACTTTTTGAAGTTTCCCAATTTTTAGAGATATATCCGCGACACAAAATACTTCAGCTAAAGAAGTGTTGGATTTGATAGCACATGATCTATGATACTCAATGCAACACCTATTTTGGCCAACAGCTCCAACTTTGAAGATTAAATAATGCTGATCACCTCTGCAGAGTGATTTGACAATTTATCTTAGTTAATTGGGCTTCAGTTAAGGTTGAGGGATTCAGCTTGGCCTATGGCCTATCTGGATCACAGGAACCAACAAAATATAATTTAAAAAGAAATGTACAGACACCAATTAACTTTTGTAGAGGTCACACATGATTTGTTTTGGCTTAGCTTTAGTTTCTCATAATTTTGTTCAAAAAAATGATGCAGTAATAACATTCAAACTTTCACAGAGAAACTATAAAAAGGGACATCTAGACATTCTCTGTTAGTTTTGGAGCATGATTCGAAGATTTATAAATATTTTTTTATAAAGAAAAGAAATTCAATAGCACTTTCTCCTAAAGGTGATTCAAAGCAAATTGTACATGTTTGCATAGTTTTAAATTTTTTCCTACATTAATATACCATTGAAATTATGCTTTAATCAAACTGTCCTTTCTTTCCACTTCTTTACTATTCTTATAAAAACAAATGTGACAATTAATTTGCTTGGCCACTTTCTTTTTTTCTTTCAATTGTGATATTTAGATCCTCTGAGCAAATTAACATGTAGATTAATGTTTTCCAAGATGATTTGCAGAATACTATAGATTATAGAGGATTTCCAGCTAAGAGTTTGATAATAGAAGTGAAAGATGATCTGCGGGAGTTTTTAAGCAATGACAGTGAATACACTGAAGACATTTGGGAAGGAATGATTGGGAATATATTTTATGACTGGTCAATATTTGCCTTTGAAAATGTTTTTGCAATGGAAAATGGGTTTTGGAAATGGCCAGAATCTATGTCTCCTGCAGGAAATTACTGCTTTGCCCTGTGGGACCTGTACTGCACCTTTGCAGCCTTGTCCAGGTTCCTCTGCCAGACTTCATATCCTCTTCAGGTATTATCATGTTCTACTTATTGCTACAGCAATGCTGAAGCAGAGGTATCACAGCCAAAAGAAAAATCACAATTTCTAAGTCAATGTAAAAACCTCTTAAAACTCAGGATAAGTGCGTCCTTCTGTGACACTGATCTGAGGCACTTTTGGCCTGCTGAGGAAAGCTGGCTGTCCATGAATTAAAGCATGGCCAACCAGATCACTCAGAAACTCTGAAAAAACAACCTCTCTCTGACAGGACCTGTAGAGAAACAGGTCATATCTGGAAGGAGCTGAAGGTTAAATATTTAAGGCTAAAAGTACTTAAAATATTCTTATCATTGACTTTCAAACATTGCATTGACTTTCAAACATTGCATTGACTTTCAAATTTGTATTAAGTACTGTCATGAATGGTTTCATTTTCAGAGCTCTTTCTTTGACCTATAGTACAGCTGCTTATTTAGACCCCTATTTAGTTCATAAGTGTAGTTTTAAGACCCCAGGTTATTCTCTTCTTTCTGGTATCAGCTTATTAAAATAATTGCCAGATGTAGTGCTGAAAAGATTCACCACACCTTTGGAACAAGGGTACAAGTGCTCTTTTCAGAAGAAGATTATTTATTTTTTAAAAATTGAAGCTGAGAGATTATATTATAAGATCATGCATTAACCTTGGTGATTTTCTGTATATCTGTCAGAAAAAAAGACAAATACACAGATTGGACAATCAAATGTGCTTTCTTTGTGAACTTAAAAAGAGATTTAGAGACTGAAGCACAGTGTGTCCAGGTTTTCCTGCTGCAGCTGAAATCTCACTGCTCCTGGCTTCCTAGCAACAGTGCCTTCCTAACTCATGACTGGAGACAGTACAGACAGAAATCAGTCTATCTTTAGGCGTATAATTGATCAATCTATTGACACTCCTTAGAACTGTTCTTCATCTTCTAACAAAGATATAAAATGGCAAGAGTGAGCACCAACACCATGCAAACAATACAGAAAATGACATTTTTTTGTTGTGATTGGCATATCCTGTTCTGTTTCTCTTTCTCTCACTGTCAGAATATCTTGAATGATTCAGAAACTATGGGTGTCAAAAAAGCATCCCTCTCCTGAAAGAAAAAACGCAAAGGTAAAAGTTGTCTCCCAGTTCACTGCTGCCCTCCTCACCTTCTTAGGCCATTTCACTGTATCCACCCCTGGGACTAATGCAGGGCTCTGTGCTTGCACCCTCATATACAATACCTCAGAATCCCACTCCCCCACCCGCACCATGTGTTACTGACTAATATCCTCTCTGTCTCCTTTAAAATCTCCCCACACAGATAAGCAATTAGTTATGGCTTGGTTTCCAGAATAGCTGTTTAGGTGCAAATTTGGTGGAAGGAAACTGTATTTCTTCGACACCTATTTAATTTTACCTTTCTCTTTACTGATACAACTCTGAACACTCCCATGACTGTAGATAGCTGGGATATAGTCTTCTCTCTGATTTTCGAGTATAAGAAGGAGATTTGAATTGCTTTCTTGTCTCTCTCATCACCTTCACAGCTGCACTCCCCAGTGCTCCTCTAGTCCCTTTAGGGGTGAATCTACAGTTAATAATTTTAAATTGAATTTTTAACTTTTAACAGGATCATTTAATTGAGGTGAATCTTAACAGGAAGGATTTTGGTACACATTAGACTGATGAATTGATGATGAACTTGATCACAGAGATGCTGTTCTAAATTATATGTTTATACAATCTTGGGTGGGCCATTGCTATATTGTTCCATTTTTTAAAACAAAAGCAAAAAAAAATTATTGTTAAATTCACCTGACTTTCCATGGATCAGATTTTAAGTCAGCCTAACCTTGCATTCATCTTCCTTGCCAACCCCGACTGCCCTTGAGAGTTATTATCTTTCATTGTCCTTTCCTCAGATTGTAAGATTTTTGAGAATCTTTTCCTCATATGTTTTTGCTTCTCCATACAAAATGTTCATATTCATAAATCCACCTATATTACCTTTCAGATTTATGCACAATTCAGATAGCTCATGCAGCTGAGCATAAACAAAACAAACCAAAGAAAACAACCCACCCAAAGCCAACCAACCAAAACCAAACAAAAACCCACACCAAACCAAAACCCACAAAGAAGCAAGAAGATATTGGATAAGGCAGGTATTTTTCTTCTTGGGAGCTTTTTTAGCAGCTACCAGCACAGGGTTTAGTTTATAAAATCCTCCTATAACTTTGAGAAGTGGCAAATCCTCTTGGCTGTTGTTGGGGATATTAGAGAGATATTCAAAAGTGGTCAAGCAAAGAATAACATATGGTGTATCTTAAAGTCTTCTCAGGGAAGCGGGTTTAGAATATCAATCCTGTAAGATATTTTGCATTCTCTGTTCTCAGTTCCATTCTCATTCTCAAGAGTGACAGGGGAATTTCCACTCAGCTTTTAGGCTCCATGTTAAACAATCCCTTTAAGGTCTATACATCAGACTGTGTAGGAATGTAATGTATCCACGGCCAGGCTTTTGATAACATATTTACATAAGATTAATATTTTTAACTTTTCTTTGCACTGGCTAAGGAATTTTAAAGTCCCTGGGCTTTTCAGAACTACTTGCCAGATGACTTCACAACACAACAGGTATGCTGTGAAGTCATCCATGACTTCAACTGAATTCATCATCTATGTTCAATGTCCATGCCTGAGTCTCTGTACTTTTAACAACTTTGTCTTCACATAGAGGACACAGTTCAACTGCGTATACATAAATTTCAGATACATATCTCCCTCTAACAGTGGTTGGAGAAACCACTATTATTTTGGGATGGTTGGGGAAAATCTGGAAGGTGGGCATCACTAGTTAATCTGCAAACACCAAAGAAACAGAGCTTAAAGCTGAATGGCAGAAGGTTTACAGAGCGCCCAGAGCCCAGTTTAGAGGGAAATTCACATCAGCTGACTCATGACATGTCTTATCTTTCAAAATACTGTGTTCATGAGATTTTACCACTTTAA